ATATAGATATAGATATAGATATAGATATAGATATAGATATAGATATATAGATATATAGATATATAGATATATAGATATATAGATATAGATATAGATATAGATAGATATAGATATAGATATAGATATAGATATAGATATAGATATAGATGTCAAATGAGTATTGACTCAAAATGAAATACATGATATATAGTGAAATACAGATAATATAATTGTAACACATCATAACTCACGAGATGTTTTTTTTATATTATAAACTTTAGATACTTAATATTTAGACCCCCCCTCACCCATAAAAAATTTGAAAATACGCCACTGCCTGTTTCTATGAAGTATAAATGAAGTATAATATATATGAAAAAAAAAAAATATTGATGATTAAATAAGAATTTTTATTCTTATTTTATATTTTATTTGGAACTAAAAAAAGGAATTCGTTTTTTGCATTTTTTTTTTTTTTAAGAAACAAGGAAAGAAACCAAGTTCTCTTTTTTTAAAAAAAACGAGGAACGGAACGAATTCTTTTTTATGAGGAGCTTTCCAAACACTGAAATATATCATTATTGCACATTATTCAAGCCCTAATCATTTTAAAAAAGGTTAATCGCCTCCCTCCAAATAAGCACCTGTTAATAGGGTCATATTTACTATTACTCAGAATAGGCAACTGCCCATGGGCTCTAATTATTATGGGGCCTCGAATGTTAATGAAATTTTTTTTTTTTTTGATACAAGTTTTATCGTTTAAAATAAATATAAGAAAAATGTAATATTTCAAAGAAATACAGAAATCTATAGAGGTAAAAAACGTGTAACGTTGTAATTTTGAAAATTTAGTAGTAAATTGTAATTATTAATTTGTTTTGTACAACTAATGTGTGGAGAGAGGGGTTCATAAATAACTACAACAACTGTTGACAAAAGCCACATATTACATTTTTCCTAAGGTTTCAAAATACCTAAATCACGCCATGCTTGTTTACGAGCCTTATTCGATTTTTATACGGCATGTACGTTAATCATTGGGTACAATTGGTATGATCGGTAATATGTTACACAACAGCGCGCTTGCTTTTGGGAGGGAATTTAATCGGCCATATAGTTTTTGTGATAACGTTTCGCGTTCGTGATAACAATTCAAATTATTTCATATCCATTTGAACATCAGACGGTTTTCACTTTTTCATAACTACTTCGCACAACCGCTTAGAATATTCGGATTTGTAGACAGTTCCCCCACGTTTAATCTCTAGTCGCCTTATTAAGTGATAAATAACTATTAAATTTTTTTTTTAAACTAACTAAAGTGACTATAATTTCAATGACTTGGTCAATACTCGAGTGATTAATGTATCACAAGTGCTTTTGAGAATATTTTGTGAAAATGTCTGACGACGATAAACGTTCTGAATATTTCAATTCCGATGTGGTTAGTTATAGAACTCGATTGGGCTCAGAGTTCTACAATCAACCATGTGAAGAAATGGCAAAGAGCTTACTTGGTAAAATACTTGTCAGACGATTAGATGACAGTGTTATTGTTAGGGGTAGGATTATTGAAACTGAAAGTTATCCAGGCGGTCAAGATGTGGCTTCTCATTCATTTAATGGAAAGGTGACGCCTCGAAATGAACCAATGTTCATGAAACCGGGTACAGCATATGTTTATTTGACGTATGGGATGTATCATTGTTTTAATATTTCTAGCAAAGGTACAATTATTATAATATAGCCTGTATTTACCGTTCTAATTATATCTGACTTAGTTGTAAATATTTAAACTATGTTTTTCTTAAATGGAATTATTTTAATTCCCTAACAGGAGACGGTGCTGCTGTTTTGTTGAGATCACTAGAGCCTTTAGAAAATTTAGACACAATGATACGTTTAAGAAAAATATTCAGAAAATGTCCGAAAACTGTGTTGAAGAGTAAAGATTTATGCAATGGTCCAGCAAAATTATGTATGAGTTTCGCAATTGATATAAAATCTTGCAACAAACAAGATCTTACTACTTCCGATAGACTTTGGGTAGAAGAAGATGAAAAGAGTAGATTTTTTGACACAATAGTTTGCTCACCTAGGATAGGTATCAAGTGTGAAAAAGAATGGCAAGATAAGTTCCTCAGATTTTATGTCCTCAATAATACATATGTCAGCAAGTTAGAAAAAACTAAGATGAACATATTGAATTATTCACAAACTGTATATCATGTGCTGTGATTCCTTTGAATTTTATTTAGATACACAGTTATTTTTATATTAGTTTACTCTTTGTAAATAATTTTTTTATTTATCTATCAATTTATTTTTTATAACAAATTACAGAATAACTACAATGTTCTCAATTAAATAATTCTATTTCGAATTGGCAAAAATCATGCTTATCATTTTCATAGAATATATGTTATACATTTATTATTATTATTGATGTGCATCATAATAAATCATTGTGTTTATCTACATCAATTATACATTAGTTTTATATCCCAGAATAATTTTACATCATTTATATAATCATAGGTATGTACCATATACATTTTTATAAATTTATACGACTATCAGTTGCTTCAACTCTAAAAAATAATTGCTTTTGGCTTAAAATTTCCAAATATTTTTAATCTAATTTCTTTAAATACTAATTTTTTGATATTAGTATGGTTCGGAAGTTATAGGAGTTGCTTATTGTTCTGAATGCTCTCGATTTATTGCAGACCAAGCTAGAAATCTGAGCTATACAATATTAAGTTTAAAAAGTGAATATTTTGCAGATTTTCATTTATTTATATGCATATTTAATATTTTCTAAAAAAATGAATTTTTTTTTTCTTAACCAATTTATTTAAAATAATGTCACATAACACAATGCTAATAACGTGAAAAATGTGCATTATATAAAACTCCATCTTATTTTTTCATGGTTATTTATTGTTATTTTTTATTGCCTACTATGAATTTAAAAAAAAGTATTAGTAGTTAATTGCAACAACTTAATATGTATTATACAACATAATATGTTGAAATAAATATATTATATTTATTTTGAATTTTACAAATAATGAAAATATATGTTTCATTATTTTTTTCAATAATATTTCAAATGCCAAATGGTTATGTGCCATACTTTAGTTTTCAATAATAGAATTTTCTTAAATATAGGTTTTTAGGCTTTATTAATTGACTTCTAATAAATAAATATTTTTTTGCATATTTCAAATTTTTTCATGTATATTTTACCATTTTTTTGTGCATGTTTGGCCTTTTTTTGGCTCCTATATTTTCTAAACCCTAATAATCTAGTTATTAGCTATAATGTTGATTTTATAATATATCTAATATAACAAGTCCATAAAATAATAGTTCTTGAATCAAAAAATCATTTTCTTTAATTAAGTTACTATTAAAATACAAAATACGAGCAATATGTATTACATAATTTAAGCTTTAATATTTTAAGTTGTAAAATATAATTTAATTTGAGCATTAATTATAAATAATAATAATAATAAATAAATATGTCAAATTCTATTATACATAACTAATCTAAAAAATAATAAATTATTGATAAAAGAGTGGTAACAAATTATATAATGTCAACAAAGTAAATAAACAATCAATCACATAATATGTATAAGGAATTATAAAAATACACTATGTCCATAAATAATAAACCAATACAACATACATAAGTTAACGCAGATAACAAAAAATACAAAGTTAATTAAAGTTAAATTATACATCTATTTTATGAGACCAATTACATAAATTAGCACTGAATTATTTTAATTGGTACATTTTAAGTGCTTTAAATTTTTAAACCGTTTCAATTCTTCCTTTTCGCTTTGGTTCAGATTTTTCCTGAGAGATAGATGCCTATGAAAAGTATATTAAATTCAAAAGTTATAAATACAATTTATTAAGTCAGAATTATGAAATTAATTAATCGCTTGAAATATATTTATTTACTTTTTGTGGATTGGAAAATTCTTGATTATTAATACTTTTTGTGCAAGGAGATTGATCTCTAGAATGTATTACACTACTACAGTTTGACCCCGTACTATATTCATCACCTATAAAAAATTCCATTTTTATTAATAGATGAATGTGTAAAAACATAATCAATTAATTTTGGTTAGAAATGTTTTTACTATTGGTAGATTTTAATGAAATAGGGCAAGACTGGGTAGAATTAGATGTATGCACAGCAACATCAGTAAAATGACTTCTCAAACTATGTCCTAAAAAAGGTTACACTAAGTTAGTAAAAGTTTTTTAAATTATTAATTAAAATTTTGTATACTAACTTGGTTTTTGTGTCGTATTACACGGTGCATAATTTGTTTCGCAGATAGTCATATCTAATAAATTTGCGATTTGATTAAGTTGTTTTCTTCTTGCTTTTATACGACCATTCAACAATCTAAAAATGTAGTGGCAAGATATTAAAATTAAAATAATATTGACTAATATTCAGTATTAAACACTGTGTTACTTTTGTCTAGCTGCATTGCATCGAATATGATCATCAAACATTAATTTTACAGTATTTGTCATTTTATATTTTGAATTATGCATAGTAATGTGCAAAGTTTTAGTTTCATTGTCAATTTTAGTAACCTAAATATTATAACTTTACAAATACTATTTTATACAAAAAAAATATACAAAAAAAATATTTACTTCGGCATCTTGAAGATAACAAGACAATTTGCAAACACCCCAACCAAGGAATCGGCTATGTGGCTCAACTAGTACTAATTGACTACTAATTATTGATAGGTACCGTCTGGTTTTTGCACCATTTTCAGCAATTATCATACAAGTAATTAAATCATTGCCATCTAAAATTAAATATAATACATCTCAGTGGGAAATTAATTAATAATAACTAATTAAGTATAAATGAGTGTGTACTTGTTTTCTAGGTCACATAATCAAAGATAACATAATTTTAATATATCTTCCAAAATAATTGATTATATAATACAGTGGTTCCCAACCCACGCACCGCGGTGCCCTAGGGACACCATGAACAATTCCTAAAGGCACCGTGGCCTACGGTTCATAACAAATAGTTTAAAATGTATAGAATATTTTTCCTTACTATTCTCGTAAAAACGTTATAGAGAATAATGTAATATTTTCTATCGTATATTCAAACATTTTCATTTTAATCTTATAATATTTTTATGTAATAATTATGATCATAATAAAAATAATTTTTATTTATTTATTTTTTAGTTTAAAAATCCATTAATTTATAATTTAGTTGAATTTTAATAAAATTAATAAAATTGGTTATCTGTGAGTATTCTTGTTTTGTTCTGTCTTTCACGTTATTCATAGCAGGGCACCGTGGCTAAATTGGTCAAAAAAAAAAAAAAAGGCACCAAAAAGTTTGGGAACTGCTGATATAATATAATATAGTTAATATTTTGAATTTAGGGTGATAATAATATTTTTAAAAAAAAAAAAAACAATAAATGGAAAATTTATATTTTAAATAGTGATGCTGACTATCATTTTTTTTTCTTTTTTTTTTTAACCCAGTCAAATTAAAAATGCAATTAGTTAAAATATTAATATTATTAAGTTAATAGATTTTAAAATTGACATTTATTGATTAATATTAATTTATGGTCCAGTTATTAACTTCATTAGTAGGTTAAATTATGATTCATTTTACACCCATATGCAATACATATAGTAATCCAATTTGTATAGATTGATTGTATACATACTGGTTATAATATTAAACCAAATGTGTTATAGAATACGTGAGTATGTGCAGCAGTTCAACTTAATTCTAGGAAGTTATGAACAATAACTTCAAATATTATTCATTAACAAATACTTACTTAAATTTATAGGAGTATCAAATACAAAACATTTGGATCTATCAACCAAAGGTAGTTGTGATTCTTCTTTACCTTCATATGTTATTAATAATTTCCTTATCAATAGAAAAGAGTAAATAAAATGTCTTGTTCTTTCAACCTAAAAAAATAACATAAATATTTATAAATATAAATCTACTCAGCCACAGGGAATTTTATTATTTTTTAATTTTGCAATGATTCTATTCTAATATATTTTTTTTACAGTTTTGATATAAATTGTAGACATTTTAAATTGAAATCCTAAACATAGAATTTATATTTTATTACATAAATAAATGTACATGTATTGAAAATTCTTTCAAAAATAACATTTCTCATGAAATACTTGAGAAATACTAAAGACACTATAAATAATTGATTTTGATTGAAAAAAGTATATTGCAATCATTAATGTTATTTATTAAAAAAAACACTTAAAAAAAAATTATGAATATTCAATAAATCATAAATCACAAAGAATGCAATTTAAATAACAATAATTGAAGGTATTGAACCAAATTCATTGTTATTTTTTCCAACATTTAAAAATAATCTTAAATAATTTCTTTGCATAACTTTTAAATATATCAGCTACATATTCTTAGTTACATTATAAATATATAAACTATTAAAACTAAAAGTGTTGTTAATTATATTTTGTATATTAACATAATTTTAAATGATTAAACTAGTGGTGATGTATTTTTTTTTTCAACTGATTGGATGGTTAGAATAAGTTAAGACCATAGCTTCATTAAAAATATCTCAGATGGTAATTTATCAGGGAGCAAGTAAACTAGGTAATGTATAACCAATGGCAATAATTAATGACTGTGGTTAAACAATGAGTCATATGTGCCAGTATGATATTCATGTAGAGTATTTCAAAATAAAATAAATTATTATTTTTAATATTTTAAAATTATTGAAGCATTTCATTACCTATATTTTGACAGATATAAATTTTTTAAAATACTGAAAATTTAATAAATTTCTAAATAAAAATTGAAACTATGAAATACATACATCACCACATGGCAAACGTTTTGAAAGAGGTATTCCAGTCATTGGGGAATGAGCTGGTGGAAGTAATAAAGTTGAATCACTTAAAAGTCGTTGAACATTAAGTTTTTCTCTGTGCATTTCATTATATTCATCTTCAAATAGTTCTAAAAACATTTCTTCTTTCTATAACAACAAATATTTATTATTTTAAAAGTATTGAACTATTTATACTATGTGAGTAAATTTAGTTGAATAAACTATATTTTATGTATTAGAATATTCACTTTGAAAAATTGTCGAAGAAGTGTTAAAATTTTTTCTTTAGCATTGAAAATAATAGCAATATGTTCATCAGATATGTAAGTTTTTTCCTCATGAATTGTAAGTTTCTTCAATAACATTATGGCCATTTCTAATGTAACTGAACGGACATAGCATACTAAACAAAAAGTCAATAAGTAAAACAATATATTAATATGTTTTAATGGTAAAAATCGTATACCTGGTTCAGATGCAGCTGTAATTATATTAACTAACTTATCAATAAGTTCATTTCTTTCATCACAAAAGACGAATGAAGAACAATCATTGTTTTTAATAGGAGTTAAAAATCCTTCATAATATTCATTGGAAAGACTTGTATTTTCAGATATAGCATATAATAAGCAAACACCAAATAATGCTGAACTGTCAGATTTTTCAATTGCTAATTGGTTGTATATAGATTCCAAACATCTACTACGTATAGAATCAGCTAATAGATAAGTGAAAAAAAAAAGTTAAAATACAAACGTATTTTAATCAAATCAAATCAAATAATACCTTCATTTTTTAGATAAAAGAATTTCTTTTTCTTCATCTGTTATATTCATACATGTCAAGGTTTTAAGATCTAAAATATCATTTGATTCATTTTCTATTTTTACCTCATTTTCATCTTCAGGTGTTACTGGTACATCAACTCGTAATTGAGTTTCTTTGATAACCTAAAAGTTTATTTATAAACATTAATTTAAAGAACTACAATTCCAACTACTAAATTAAGAATTTAAAATTTACTTGATTTTTTCGCTGGGACATTGCTCCCCAATAAATATTTAGCTAATGGTGTAATTAGTTTAGTTTGATGAATAATTAAAAATACTTGCGTTAATAAAAATAAACATATATCACCATTCATTAATGGCTGTTGTTTAACAGCATCTACAAACTAATAAGTATTTAAAATAAAAACTATCATAATTTAGTTTTTTCAATTTTAAAATAATTATTTACTTCTTCTGTTTCTACAATAATGTATTTATCTGGTGGAGCTAATGAATGAATATAATATGGTACAAACAGTTTGTCTATCAAATGATCAATCAGTACTTCATTTAACATATCCACTTTTGAGCTTAAAATATCATTTAAATAATGCAGATCATCTAAATGAGAACTGACAAGATCTGCGAGTTTCACTCTATACTGATCTCTATATGAAAAAAAAAAGTATTATTATTTTAATTGTATATAAGACAGTACTAGGGCTTGTGCTAAGCATTTAAATGCATTACAAATCATACAAAAAATGATTTAAAAAAACAGTCAAAAATAACCTTAAAAAAGGTATTTCACTATGAAAATATCTTTAAAAATTACAAATACATTTTTTTAATTTATTCTTTTATTAGACCAATAATTTTGTTAACATTAATAAAATAAATAAACCCAATATTAATATTTATTATTGATTTAGTTTTTTATTTTTTTATTTTAATTGATTAACTATAAAAATATTATAATATATGATAATAGAGGAGATGAACAACAATTTTATTCTAAATATCTTAAAGCAGTTAATAGTTAAATTAGCTTTACACATACTAAACTATAGCCCTTAGCTTAAATAAAATGTATATTCACATAATATATTTACACAAATAAACAGTAGCTCTAAATATACATTTTAATCAGCAAAGACTTTACAAGTTGAACATTTTTTTTTTACCCTGTCGCAGCACTCTAAGGTTAAATTTTTATCTAAATTATACCAAGTTTTAAAATAAAATATTTTAAAAATAACTTACTGAATATTTTTTTGAGTATCGACATCAACTGGTTTAGCTCTAGCACTTGCATCTAATTCTAAAACATGTTTACCCATAAACCACACCAAGTTTCCAAAATATGGAGCACATGTCTTGTCTCTGATAAAACGTAACATGCTTTCATCTTCAACTCTATATACATTTAGAGTTAATGTACGAACATATGTACGTACCATCGAATCAGGATGATTAAAAAACTTTATTGCTTCTGTGTAAAGGGGAAAATCATTTGTTGCCTGCAAATTCAATATTAATAAATAAATATATATATATATATATATATATGTACACATTTTTTAAACAAGTTAATAAATTGTATAATTTGTCAACAAATTTTATTACCTCATTATAAAAAAAATGAATAGTATTTAAATTTAATTTAAACGATAACGTTTTTAAAAAAGATATGTAGTATGCTAGAACATCCTCATCTGAGAAATCCAGTTTATTAATAATTATGCTATTAACATGGTTATTGCTGAGTAAATAATCTAAAAATAAAAATATATTATAATATTATAGGAGTGTATGAATTTAACATTAAAACTTACATAAAGCAGTCTTATTTTTAATATTTTCAAATATAATATTTAGTGTTTGAAGCAATTGAACACACACATAATTTCCACATTTCTGATCCAATATATGAAGAAAATAGTTGAACATATTATTTTCTAAAAAAAAACCTAAATAGTTTACAAAAATTAACCAAACAAATTGAATTAGAGTAAATAATAAGTATAGTTCATCAACCAGAGTTTGAAATGTTTAGGCTTAATAATAATAATGAACTACATTTTATTTTTTCATTTCTCCATCAGCACTGAGGGAAAATTAAAGACTTATGTGAGTTATGAGTAGGTTGGAATATATCATATAGAAACATTGTTTAATGAAATCTTAGATAGTTAATCTAGAACTAGCACTAAACATGGTCTGTAAAACAATTACGGTTAATTACTATACTGGACGATACTTCTAAACAATATTATTTTATTAACGTAAAAAATGCTATACAAAAAAACTGCTATGTTTAACTATTAAATTATATTTTGCTAAAGACAATTTATAAACAAATTCAATATCTTATGTTAAAAAATAAGAGTACATAAAATACATTATTTTCTGTATAAAATCTATTACACTTAAATTTTTAAATTTAATTACATTTAAAAATAAATGATGTCACTTGTTGAAATTTAAGTATAATATTAAGAAATTACAACTTAATTTTCTCCATATAAGTAATATATAATAATCAATGGCATTTTATTAATGATTCCAAAATCAATATAATAATATGTTAAATAAATTATGAATTACTTTTAACTTTATCATAGATAATATTTTTAGAAAATCTGTGATTTTACCTATTTTTTTTAAATAAATAATTGTAAAAAACATAAGGAATGTATCATCAAGGACAATGTATACAATGATTATAAATAATAATAAGGTAGTTTTAAAATTTAAGTTTAAGTGTATGACATTTTTTATTCAAAATATATCCTAACATAACTGTATTTTTTTTTAGGATTTCAATTTTATTTAAAAATAGAATAGAGGTTAATGTTGATTTAATAATAGATTGTTTAATCATAAATTATTAATGCTTTAAAACAGTTTGTAAAATATTTATACAGGTATACTAACAATGGATAACTAGATTTTCTAAAATGTATTCCTATGTTAATTATATTATTTTATTGTTAATATGTATACATGCAAATACATATACATTCATATTTTAAAAGTTAAATAAGTATTTTTTTTTACTCAAACACTGCTGGACTATTTTGATCACCCCATATTAAAATTTCAGCCATACTACGAAACGAATCAACAATCAATGTTCGATTGGCATCAGTAACATTTTGATTTTTGCTTAATACCGTGTTAATATATCTATAGAAAAAAAAATATAATATAACTGGAATTCATTATGTTCTGGTAATATATTTGAGTCATAAAAGTTACTTGAGATACTCCAATGAATGCAGGTTTTCAGGTTTAACCAATTTTTTTGAACGAAACATATTACTGGTCGTTTACAAATTGACATTCGTAGCGATTAAATATTATCTATTCAGCTGAAACAAAGATGCGTCATACATTAGCATCAATTATTTGCATATAAAAAAAAAAAATCATAAAATATGAATAAAATAAAATAATATTGTCGATTGTAGTAACAAATGGGATGATATAAAACTTGTCACAATACCATTTATCAATCAATTGCATTGTCACCAAAGCATTCAACTGCATAGGTTTATTAACTACAATGTTATTTATTATTTTTTAACTCATCAAACTAATCGTCATTCTTATCAACTTTCGTTTTGACAATTTCCGCACAACCAACTCTGACGTATTCTTGTCGACCACCAAGATACCAAACTAATATTATCTTAGTCCGTACTTGTTACTAACTTCATGCATTTACATTATTATGATGAAATAATTTTAACACAAGTTACGGTTTTTAAATATCATTGATGATGAGAAATTTGACTCAATTTAATGATTCAATTCACTTGACTCAGTTTATTCCATTGATTTAACTTAGTGAGTCAACTCATTCAGCAATAAGTTCTTATCGACTTTATGTTACATTTTATATAGTAATGAATCACCAATTTATTGAAATGCATAATTCAACTGACACAATAACGGATATAAGATATTATGTAATATCTATGTCCATGGACACAACTTTTATGTCATGAACTGACAAAATGATAACTTATGAAACTAATATGTCTATACATAAATATACCTTTGGTAACATCGAGTTATCGAGTCATTAAATTATGACACACTGATTCAACTCATTCCATTCACTTAAAAAAAATCGACTCTTTGAATCAATTCATTCACGAACTACCCACCCCGAGATATTATCGACAAAATATTTATTTGATTAATAATAGTCTGAAACCGATCGTAATAACATTGACATAGCAATACAATAGATCGTTCAGAATCTTATCCTTATCAACTGATGGTATGACGCTAAAGATTAACATTGAATTACGAAACAAATTCGGAAATCGTTTATAGGCCTCAGTAACTCACCGTGCAAGATATAAAATCTTGCATGCACTATGTTTTTAATTAAAAAGCAATCACTAAGCCGTCTTATTTTTAATACGGATGTAGCGTATTGGTATTGAGTGTTCGTGATCCAAAGTATAAATATAACCTATGAAAGCGTATAAAATATCGAGCAACTAGACGAACGTATTTTAGATTTTTCCGAATAGTATCTACACCGAGGATGTGTGTAATATATGTGAATAATTTGAACGGCGAACATGGCTACAAAGCTCAGATATACTATACAATAGACATTGTGCACATATGTGTTAAAGTTACATAAACATCATAATATCATAGCCTCATAAACTGGTAAATGCCATTGAGAACAAAGATTGAAGACTTAGACCATACTGATGAAGACGCGAACAGTGATGTCAACACTCAGCTTATCAGTTGGTCGAAATGTATACACATAATTGTACGTTCTGTGTGTGGGTAAGACATATCTGCTGATAGTCGAATGATAAGAATTGAATGGACTTTCGCTGCGACTGGTCAAAAACGGACGAACAGCTGATCGGAAAAATGCGAAAAACCCTTTTTTGTACGATTTTCGAACCCAAATCTCTGTGACCACCCGGTACCCGGCAGAGAAGAGATCGTGGAACGGAATTATCTGGCTTTGGGGATTTCGTAGACCGAGATACTGCGTTTATCGGGCGGGCGGCACGACGAACACGACCGTTTCCGCCATGATCGTTTCTTCCATGGGAATTGGTTTTTATTTTGTTCGTGTGTGTTGTTTTTTTTTTTTTTATATTATTTTATTTACCGTGGGTGGAATCACTGGAATGTCCTTGCACTTGCTAAGCCCCGAAATCACGACGGCGGCCATCAGTTCTGACGTTTTCCAAAGTTTGATTCCCACATCAATATAAACCATTTGGCGGCCAATAAAAACGATTCGTACATGTTAAATAATCGCTGGACAACGTGCACTACGATTTCCCGGTAGGTAGTGTTCGGGTTCTGTTGGATCGCGCAAAATGCAAGCCATCAAATGCGTTGTTGTCGGCGATGGGTAAGTCCTACGTACTTGACAATTAATATTATTACAACATTACTGACCGCGGTTCGTTAAGGAATGAGGCCATCACAAGTGGTAATCACAAACATTTTAGATAATGATCAGTTCTTGTCCGATATACCGCAGACCTAAACTGCTTTTCATTTTTTTTTTTAACATGCCATAGTTGTGTCCATCATTTGCTCTGCTGTGTTGTATTACCGTTCAACGTTTTTACACTTTAAGATAGCTTTCCATTCTATTGTGAAATATTTCAATTATTGAAAGTGGCTTTAATCAACGGTTCTTAGCTGTCATTGAACATCTTTTTAGAATCTTAAGTTTCTTGGGATCAAATTCATTATTTTCCTTTGGTGTTTTCGAAATGTATTGGTGATTACTGCTTATATTTGATATTTTCCTTACAACACATGCAATGCACACGGGTTTACTTGTACTTAATTGGGTACAAATTATGTATATATAAATTGTTATCTGTATTTTCCAATAAAAGTATTTTCAACTATGTAGTTCAAATTTTGTAAAAAAAAAAATGTTTTTGATTTTTTTTTTTTATAGAGCTGTTGGTAAAACATGTTTACTCATTAGTTACACAAGTAATGCATTTCCTGGAGAATACATACCTACTGTGTAAGTGACAATTTTTATTTAATCCTACAGGTGTCTTATTATATATTATGTGTAATCAATAACAAAGAGTATAACATTTAATTAACTTCTTTGTATAACAATATTATATTCTTGCTTCATAGTGATTGTTGATTGTATTATGTAATAGTATTGTTTTTAACTTTTATACTTTTATTATGAAGATATTAATTAAAAAAGATATTTTTTTAACCAAATGCACATATTTACATATTTTTAAATTTATAATTATTGTTAAACAATTTTTCACACTTTATCTTAATATTCTAACTGTACCAAAGAATTAGGTATTTATTAAATAATAATATTAATAAAAATAACTGTTTATACATAGTTATTTAAACAATTATTATTATCATTATTTTATTTCCTATTATTTTTATTTCTAAATTACATTTTTATTTTAAAAAGGCATAATTATTTTATGAAATATTATAGTTTATAATACTAACATATTTAACAATTATTATATCTAATAGTTGGTAAATAAAAAAAAAAAAAAAGTAGTAAATTTATTATTGGTAGTGTTTTCGTATAGTAGAAGTTAAAATAAAAAAAATAAATATGAATAGAATTAGTTAAAAGAATGATATATACTTAATTAAGTATTTCAATAAATGTTTTTTCTTCAAACTGTAAATACTTTTTTACTTTTTAGCTTATACTTTTATGGTTATACCAACATATGGTTTATTTTTCAAACATAGATCTTTATGATTTTAACTAAATATATTAAATGAAAAATATTTATAAATACATTAATAATAATTAGAAAATATGTATCAATGTATTATATTTTAAGTATTATAATATTAAAAATTACATTTTACTGTTTGCATCTAAGAATTTTTAATACCATCTTTGCAGTGTTTATCAGTAAAATTTCTCAAGTTACTATTGGTTTATATTAATTTTTGTAATATAAAGTTATTTTTGTTGGAAACTTATCTATTCTTGGCTAATTTTTTTCATAATATCTTCCAAGAATTAATTTTAAATCTGCTAGCTAATTATTGTTCTATCCTTTTATACTTATTTTATTTATAAATGTTAAATACAAATTGTACTATTTATTTTATATTAATTGTTATTGGAATTTTAGATTTGACAACTATTCAGCCAATGTTATGGTTGATGGTAAGCCAATAAACTTAGGATTGTGGGATACTGCAGGTCAAGAAGATTATGATAGGCTTAGGCCTCTTTCATATCCACAAACAGTATGTTTATTTAATGTTTTAAAATGTATATGATCCACATAACATTTTTTCTTATTCTTTCATTAAATTTATTTTACAAATATTTAATTTTTTTTTTTTTGTTTTTTCAGGATGTATTTCTTATATGTTTTTCTTTAGTTAATCCTGCATCATTTGAAAATGTGCGAGCAAAAGTAAGATAAATCAATATAACTACTTTGATCAATACTAAACATGTTTCATTGATTTAATGTATTATTACTAAATACATAATTGTAGTGGTATCCAGAAGTTCGACATCATTGTCCAAGTACGCCAATTATTTTAGTTGGTACAAAACTTGATTTACGAGAAGATAAAGAAACAATTGACAAACTCAAGGAAAAAAAATTAACTGCCATCACATATCCACAGGTATTTTTATTATATATTATTAATATATTTTGTGGTATTAATATACAGTAAGTTAATTTTAGGGTTTATCAATGGCTAAAGAAATTGGAGCAGTTAAATACTTGGAATGCAGTGCTCTGACTCAAAAAGGTCTAAAAATTGTTTTTGATGAAGCCATTAGAGCAGTTTTATGTCCTGTACAGCCACCAAAGCCCAAACCTAAGTGCGCAATAATTTAACAATCATGACTATGTTGTCACTGGTGAGTTAATTTATGATTCTTATAATACAATTTTTTCCAATCATGTATTTTGTACGATTGGAATTTAATTATTCATTATATCTTTTTAAAATTATTGTACGATAATTATGATACTATATAATATAAATTATGATAAATTCGTGTATTATTTACTAATACTTTTCTGATCTGGTGTTATAAATTGAGGTTTATTATATATTTATGAAATACTTAGGGACTCTAAATCCAACAGAGGATTGTCCAAGACTGATAACAGTCAGTTCACCGATCGATACACATTTTACTTGTGTATAACAACTAACAAAAAACAAAAGTTCTTCCTGCAAAATAATAGAGCGCACATAATAATTAAATTATGTAATGTATAGTATGGTAAGAAATTTATATATTAACTAGGGATCTATAATGCTGTTGAACAAACTTATGGCCTAATTTTATAGTCTAATCATGTAATCTATAGCTTAATCATTTTTATAAAAATATATGTACATGTACATATATATATATTGAAATAATCCATATGTTAATTCATTCTGTAATTGTAAATTAATTCAAATCGATTTTCATTGTGAATTTTTTCTTTTATTATTTTATTATATCTTTTCTAATAAGTTGCTTGGTGCTACTTACATTCTATATCTTTTAATATCACTATTTTGTTTTAACTTTCTTTAATGACATTGCCAAAAATGATTTACCACTTAACATAATAATGAAAATTAAATAAAAAATAAACAAATACAAAATACCTTTTTATAGAATGATTTATAGTAACTTGATAAATTGGGTAACATTGGCAATTTATATTAATTTGTAAAAAAAAATTATGAGCTAATTGATATATTATTGTTACAGTAGCATGGTTGATTATTTTAATTTAGGCTGTAATCAAAAATTATTTATTATTATTTATTAAGCTTTATGGATTTACAAAAATAAGTACTGTGTGCTTATCATTATTCTCAATTTATTTATCATGTATAACTTGACATAAATGCATTTTACATTGATTTAGAGTATAAAATATTGTGTACACAGAGATTATATGAAATATGTACAAAAGCAGCAAAATTTATAGTATCATTTTTGTAATATTTGTTATGTCTAAAAAAAAAATTCAGAATTTTAATGTTATATTTTAATGAGTTTCTTTATAAAATGTTGTTGTATGTACACTATGATTATTTAGGTAGTCATGTGGTTTTTTTTTTTGTATAATCATTTTTTTTCCTTTTTCTTTTTAACCTTGTAATTTCTAAATAAATGATATATCTTGTATAAAAAAGAGATATTTTCTTTTATTTTTCAACCCTGTGTTAATGACTAATTAAAATGTAGTCATTACTTTCATAAATAAATGATGTATTATTCATTTTAAATTTATATTTTTATAATTCATTTAACATTTGTATTTCTTCTTTATTAATGTCATATGTTTAAGAATACATTACTATCCTTTATACTTTAAATGGCTTACTAAGATCATAGATCTGATGCGAATTATTTCAAAATTGTAACTGTAAACTAGCAAAATGTAAAAAATAAATTAATTTGGGACCAGTTAAAGATGTTTTTGTTTATTAATTGAGAATTTAAAACTTGCATAAAAAATTAATATGATCTATAATGTTATCATTAGTTACATTTTGCATATGGATAATAATGTATATTTCAAATATATACATAGTGATTATGTATATTTGTATACAAAATAGTCCTTCGAGTATTATTTATAAGTTAGTATATTTTACAAGACTTAGAACACCTTATATCATTTTAAGGATTCCAGATTATTATTATTATTATTATTATTATTATTATTATTATTTTATATTATTTTTATATAAGTTATATATTTTGTTAATTTAATTCAAATTATTTGTTCTTTGTACTACTACAATCCATGTTATGAACTACCAAATAAATATAATAAGTATCAACATTTAGATCGGTCTTGAAATTGTGGTGTATGTTTAAACACAAACTATTAGTCTCAAAGCAATACATTTTGACTAGCTCAATGAGTTATATTATACCAGGCTTTTTATTGTTTAAAAAAACAAATTTTATTTTATACTGATTATAATTGATTGCATTTTTTATTTGAAATACAAATTAAATTAGAATTTAGTTTTTTATCTACAACAAGGTAAACACTGCTATGTTTATTTCATTTCTATTGAAAATTATGAATTACATTCTTAAAAGCTATTTATAATTATAATTTTTTAAATATTATTAAGTGCAAATTGTAATTGTTTTATCCACCAGATTAGATTTAAATTATTAGTAGTTAAGAAAAATCCATTAACAGATTATTCAATTTAGTGTTCTAATAAAATATTTTAATTTGATAAATTTTAAAGTAAACAATTTAATTTATTTAGTTATTTTTTAAAAAGTTATTAAAGTTAAGTGACATTCTATAATTATATAAAATAGAAGATAAGCTAAATTAGAGTGCAATTAAAATCTATGTTCTAGATATTTCTAGCAATTGGGATTTTAGGGTATGTATTAATGAAATTGTTTTTCATACCCGCATGCATAGTACAGTTCTGTGAACAATAGTTTCCTAAAAATTTTTTTTTTTTAGTAAAGTCAATTTTGCTAAAAACTGTTTATGACATAAGCTATCAAAACAATTATGATTTTTTTCATTAAATCATGTAAAATAAATAAATAAAACCAAATAATAGACAAATGACTTACTTGTTCCACACTCAATCAGTTTAATCATAATAGTAGTATACTCTAATCTAACATTTCCCAAAGTGTGTTCCGCGGAACCTTAGGATTCCGTGTGACAATGCTAAGGGTTCCGTCAGATGTATGTTATTATTCAGAAACTTATTTTATATTATATTTGGAAAAAATATTACTTAAAAAATTTTTTTAGAGTATTAAGTTTTCCTATTTTTTTTTTGTTTTTTAAAAAAATAGAGTTGAATTGGAATTAAAGATATTATGGTTCCGCGAAACAAATTGTTTTTTAAAGGTTCCGTGATTGTAAAAGTTTGGGAACCGCTGCTTTAGTCTGTAAGATAACTCTTGATACCTATTTATACTCACCAAGACAATATATTTTAATTTTAGATTAAAAAATATTTATTATAATTTTTAATTCTAGGTGGTGATAAAAAAATGTAGATGTATATTTATGTATAAATAAAATACTCATTTAGGAATAAAAAAAAATATGTTATACAATTGTATGAATATCACTAATTTAAAGTAATAAGTTTTAAATACCTATGAGGAAAAACAATATCCTAATATATACAGACCTGCATTTAAGGGGAGCACTGGCTACAACTGCCCCGGGTGCCAGTTTTTTTGGGGCGCAAACATTTTGTAGTCGGAAGTCTGCTCACTTGTGAATTATTGAACTTTTAAAATTATTTTGAAATTATTATTTTTTTTGTTTTTTCATAACAGTATTATAAAATCATGTTAATGTATTATGCTTTTTGGAATTTAAACAACTATGAACTAATGTATTTATAGCAATATAACTATCAGCGGTCCAGATTATTATTAATATACCTAATATTAGTTCCCAAATTTGTTGTTATAATATTAATAAACGTAAGTTATTAATAATAATACGACGTAGGTACCTATTATGTTATTGAGTGTGGCGTGCTGACTACACAAAAATAGCATTGTTTATAATGCAAAATGTCTAAATGCGGCACTGAACATATATATTAAAACCGTATTAATTACCGTAATTCACTGTTATTCAATCTTATCACAACATTTATCCTTAAGCTAGAGGAATTTAGTCCTATGTTGGATATTAATATTTATTATATTTATGAAAAAATTATACCTTTATAACATATACTGTGTAGTCCGGTTGTTACGTTCAACACGAACACAAGCATATTGAGCCAATGGATCTTTCGCTCCCTTATCTCTAAGCACGTTCGTTAAATTATTTTTATCATGTTCATTAGTACAATGTTTCTTTACCTTTTGCGGTATTATGTTGGTACAACAAAAATGGTCAGAATTCGGGCCTAGCGTCTTCGTGTACGCCCAAATCCACCATAAGGAATCTGTCATCTTCGTCATTGCCACTGCGTCCAAATGATAAGAAATCCAAAAAGTTTGTTTTACCAAACCGATTCGCCGTTCTGGCATCTGAGGAGGACAACTTAAGTAAACCCAACGTCATGTGTGATTCTTTCGATGCAATTAACGAGTCCATTATCCTCACTCTACACGACAACTCCAGGGCTCCGCCATTTTATATCCAAGACATTAAAAACTTCTCCACTTTCAAAAACACGTTAATCCAGCTCACTGGTCAAAACGGTTTTACAAGTCATTACCTTCTTTTTTGATTGTCCTCCCTCAAGGTCATAAACATTTTAATATAATTGCAGAATACCTAATGGAAACCAATGCTTCTTTCCACACTTTCATGCCTTCTATATACCGGCCTTACAAGATCGCCATAAGAAACCTGCACCACTTGACCCTTATCTCAGATGTATCTGATGCTCTCGACGAACTAGGTCACTTCGCTACCCGTGTCGTAAATTTTATTAAAAACGGACGCCCATTACCACTCTTTTTCGTGGTCCTCAATCCCAATACTAATAATAAATATGTTTTAAGTATGTCATAAATTTTGCATACAAAAATCAAAGTTCAATTACCATACAGGACAAAGAGTGGTCCGCCTCAGTTTAAAAACTGTCAGACATACCGCTAAATATTGCCATCATCCCTTACACTGTGTTAAATATGGAGGAGTTTACTCTTCAGACACTTGCGCCAAAAAAAAAGCAGCCCAGCCACATACATCCTTCGCACGGGTAACAACACCTCAAACTACAAGGGATGTCCAAAATATAAAGCACTACTCAAACATCGCAAATTTACTCATTCAATTCGACGAAATCCGAACACTACTCATATCTATCATTCTCAAACCATCACCTCTCCCTCCAAAGTCTCCTACGCTTCCGTTGCCGATCCTAATAATACTCCATTATTGAATAATTCCGCTAACAACCATATTTTTTCCAAATTTTTTTCAGATTTTTCTTCACTAATTAATCCCCTCATTTCCCTCCTTACAGCCGTACTGCAAAAGCAATCCATTCCATAATTCATTCATTCCCTATCTCATTAGCCTAATTACCAATTATTTCATATTCACCGATAATTATATCTGTTTATCTTAATGTCAGTATTATGAACTTAATTTTAAGCACTTTATTATAATCGTTGAGTTGTAATAGTTTTATACTTGAAATTAATAAAAAAAATTTATATATATATTGTGTTTTGTAACCTAAAAATTTTAAATGTGTAGTATCTATTAATGTTGGTGCCTACAAGGGTCAATGGCATTCATTTCATATTTCCTGTTGATGAGTGACGATATCTATTTACAGTAGACTATAACAATAATACACTTAAAACGTTCCGTCTATTATCATATTATCTGATTATCGCAGTTGGGAATTAAAAAAAATCATGAATACTAATTGAACATACATATTTTTAATTTTTAAATTATTAATAAAAAGTACATACATTTATTTTTTTTGTGGGAAGTATAATAAATTAAACATTTATAACTAGGTACTCAAACTATTCATAATGTAAAATACTGTATTTACATTATTTTAAGAACAATTCGTCATATAAGTATTACAAATGTAATTAATAATTACTACTTTCTTGAAAGTCATTACTTATATGGACTGTTATACTCATCATTTTATAAAAAAAATTATTTACAGTTATTTTCGTTAACAAATAATCACATTAATTGGCATAATGTTTTTAAATATTTTATTCGTATAATGGGTAATACGTTTAACAAATAATTATTGGTCTTTATTAATGTTGATATTATAGTACATTTTATTGCTTTTGGTTTGAATTTAAAATTTAGTTTGTAGTCAATCAGCATTGTCTGATAAGCTATAGCATTAAAGCTTTCATTATTTATTTACTTATCAAAATCTATTAAAATCCCAAATGTTCGCTCATCGTATTGACAAATATTAAATAAAACATTATTAAATTTGTGCAATGCTGAGAGTATTTTCTTTAATTTTGACAATTACATTTTATGCTAATGAATACAATTGTGTGCCTATAGATATATCGTAATGTTAATTTATTTTTATTTAAACTGGGACAAGCCCAATTATTACATAACATAATTAAATTTAATTATATATTCACAAATATAGATAGAGAACGATGATCATCATTTGTGAGATTATAATTAATTACACAAAATATATGTTTATTTAATACGAGAAGGTTTAAAGACTAATCATTATAACAATAATACTCTTTTTTTTTTTTAAATCTGTCTATAAAAAAACTTAGGTTCTTTTTATTATGTGTATAAATGTATTTTATGATATCATAATGCAGTAAAAGCAGATATTTTCTTCATTTTAAAATTGATTTCCCAAGTAACGATTTTCACATTGTTCTTAAACGTAGAAGAGGATAATAGCCATTATTTGAATTGATATCTATTATAAAATCTGGTTAGGATTTGCACCATAAATTTGATAACATCTCTGTTATGAGAATCATTTGCACACATTTGTAATGATGTGCATCATTCGTCTGTAAAAGACAGCACAAATATTTTATTATGTGTACTATTTATATGTACGTTATTTTTAAACCTTTTCAAATAAATAAATAACGGTATATCTTCGATACCCGCGTGAACGACACGGGTCGAAAAATAAATACTATTGACATCCCTACATTCAAAGGACAGGCCCAAGGTCTATGCCACCGCATGGGCCTATATAACAGGGACACACACCACCCTTCCCAAAGCTCTTGATCTTATGTCGTCAGTGCATGCGCATCGATCATAAGATCAACAACGAGCTTATACATGCGATTTATTTTGACTTATTTAAGTTTAATTTAAATAAAAAAATAT